TCTGTCTGCAAGGGGTGCTCATAACTACCTAATCCTACAGTGACTTGGCCATCTAAATGTAGTGGCATTACTGAACATAAATGTTTGATAATTTCATATCCAATAAAATAAATATTTCAAAGTGATTGACAGAAGGAAGCGGTGATTGCATATTAAATGTTTTTCCCACTGGATAACCAGCAGAGGTCAGTAAAATACTATTTCAATATTTTTTCTGCTCTTTATGTAGATATCAAATATTTCCATTTTATGGTTTCATGGGATGGACAGATGATTTCAGTACTGCAGAAGGAAAAATGCTGAATTTAATTGACAGCTTTACTATTTCCTTCTCATGGCTAATGCAGTTTCGTATTGATTCCTGTGGGTAATAGTCATTCTCATAGAAAGAAAATCCTGTGTCTAGAAACCTGTGTTTATTATGTATTAATTTAATGTTGATGAGAGATGATAGATTGACAGCCCAGGAGACCAAAATCCTCTTGTTGCTGTGGGCAGGAAACAGGAGAGGCAACAGTGCTGGCGATTTCCTCGTGCAGTGTAACTGCTGCGGCTGCGCCGTCGGCTCCGGGGAGCGCTGCCGAGGGGACAGCGGGGAGCGCGGTGTGCACCTTGTGATTCCCACACTTGTAACTGGACAGAGCACGTGGGCTATTGAGGGCCAGTCGGATGTGATTTCCCAGAGGGAAGCTTGGTTTCAGTACAGCTCCTAATCATTCAGCCCAGCTATTAGAACTTAATCATGTACAAAAATACAAACAAACCCCACCCCAGGGCTTTCTGTATAACCAGAGAGCTGCCGTTCAGCCTTGTTGCAAATGCTGCTCTCCATTAGAAAGTGTGAGAGCAAAGGTGTGCTCTGCAAAAGTCGCCTTTCCAATCCTGTCGATTGTGAAAGCTGATTTGGTTTCAGTTGCTGTCAAAGTGGGATAGTTAGGAGCTATCACAAAGTTTGCAGTCTCTAACGAAAATGACTAAGATCCTTTCTGTTGTACTTGGGTACTGAAACACACAGGAGACTTTTTGAAAGCTGCTATGAAATGTTCTTCTTAAAATTGCATTTGATCAATTGCCTTCCAAACCTATGACCACTTTGTGGCTGAAGCAGCAAAAGGGGAAAAAAAAGTAGTGGAAAAGTGATGTGCTCAGTTCTCTGAAGACTCTTGCTCTTGCCTTCCCTGTGCCAGGCAGTCCTTGAGTCCTTAGCTTTCTGTGAAGAGCTTCACGTATGCAGGTTGAGAGATATGTAATGCGTGCCAAACACATGGATGGAGGCGTTTGCTTTGGCCAGCTTGCACTGTGGGAGCTGCTGCTGCAGGCTGCTTAGTGCTGAGATTTCTTTTTAATGGTGCAGAACACTGACAGCCCGATTGCAGGCTCCGAGAAGAGAATAATGAAGATACGGAGTTAAGCTCCTTTCTGCTTGCCTGTCTCAGCTCCCTAGGTTACAGAATGAGCCCAACAACTTGACTTCTTAACATCTCTGAAGTACTTACCTAATGATCTGATATATGGGCTACTTAAATTAATGAGCCAGTAGAATTTAAACACTGGTATAGAGCCTGGAATTTTGACTTTCTGTTATAAACTGTTTACGCTCTAGTTATTGCAGAGTGCAGTGCAGCAGCTCGATATTAAATTAAAAAGGTCAGGTGCTACTCTGTGTACTCCCCTGCCAGGTTCTCTAATAGGAACATTTGTGACTTACAAAACTATGTAAGCGACTGAGCTTTGATGGTTTCCATTATTTGCTACTGCAGAGATCACAAGGATCATACAACACTTAATTTTCCCCTTCTAATTCAGGTAATTGTGAAACAGGAAATAATTATTAAAAAAAAAGCATTTATCTCTTACCTAAATACAGGTGGTAACCTGCACTAGGTTTGTGCTGGTGTTTAAGCACAACAGAGAGTGCTGCTAGGAATTCCATTAAATGCTTAGGCAGATAATACTATTGCAGCATTTCTGGTACTGGGGAAATATTAACATTTTGCTTCCTATAAAAACTGTAGTCGTGTGTTAGGCTTGTTTGTATTGTCCCTATTCGATGGACTTTTCAGTGCTCTGTAAGGAAAAAGTTATATTTTGTTGGAGGCCAAAACATTCAACATTTTCAATGTCATTTCAATTTTAATGCTGGCCATCTGGTAAGTATGTTTTCTGTTGAAAGAATCCAGACCCATAATATCTTTATCATGCGCTAGCAGATACAGACATTCTTCAAGAGCAGAGGAAGAGTATACTTCAAAATTAATTACGGATTTGTGTAATGCAGTGAAAGCAGTTTCTAACATTTGTGCATATTTTTATTTCACAAAGTAAGTATCCTTCTAAAAGGCTTTTTTAAACTATGTAAGAGATTGAGGGGGGGAAGAAGCTTGCAGACATGCTTTCCAAAGAGATTAAAGTTCCTGAGGTTTTTATTTAAATATCTTTAATAGTGTGGGTACAAACTAGAGAGCTGTGATACTTAAAAGATGTTGTTGCCTGTGACTGTTGTCTTAAAAACAATTACAGTTTTAAGTAGCTTGCTTTGACTGCAGTGAATATGGGAGGCTCAGGATTTTATTCATGGCAATGTTACTGGGTGATGGTGTTGTGCAAATAAATTTCATTGTGTGTGTACTTCTTGGAAAACCTACTAGAAACATCAGTGTTTGGAACACGTTAATGTTCTGCTGCAGCAGTTTGTGTCTGAATCTTCATGGTTTTAGTCGGAAATGAAAGATACAATATGGTAAATAATGATGGGGCATCAACTAGCTGTAGAATATATTACAGAATGTAAAATGGCTGCGTTATATGGATAAATGTTTATCTTCCATGGTTAAATAGATGTGAAAGGAAGGTTAGGCTAAGTATTCTAAGTTCTGTTATATTTTGCAGGTGAAGCAGTGAATGCTGGAGATGCATTGTGTGAAATTGAAACAGACAAAGCGGTGATTACAATGGAGTCAAGTGATGATGGCATATTGGCTAAAATACTGGTAGGGATTATATTTCTATTAGATTAGATTTATCTTTCTGTGAGGTTTCTTTCAGATGTTCTTTGAAACAGTGATTTATGCATCATGTAAGTGCTATCACTTTCTTGGTGGACAGGCTTGTTACTTGGCATCAGTTATGTTAAAATAGACAAACTTGGTGGAAGCTAGTGGAAAGTGAATGTTATCTTTTTTCAGAAAGAGGTAACAGGGCACTGTTGCTGTGGAGTTTTGGGGGTTTTGGTCTTTTTGTTCCCTGAGCTTCTGAATTTACAAGCTTGCCTTTTAAAAATATAACACTGCTAGATACAGGGTAGGTACCTCAAAGCATGTCTGCCCAATGTGTCCAGCAAAATTTCCCGGCTCTGTTTGCAAAGGTGAGGCATCCATGCTTGTTTTCTGTAGCTACTGTGAAAAGCTAATGACTTTATCCTTGGAGGTACTCAGTAGCCTGTGACTTGTTTACTTTGGTTTCTGAATGCTAACTTTAGATGTATGTGATTTTGGGGCATAAGTTAATATTCCTTGTACTAATAGTAGGAAGGAAATGGGATACATTTTCATTATGAAGTGTCTTTACTATGCCTGAAATTTTCACATCTACCATTTGTAGTTGTATGAGTCTAGACAGTGCAATATATAACTTAATGTTCTCATTGCCTTAAATTTAGGTGGCAGAAGGAAGCAAAAATGTACGCTTGGGCTCACTAATTGGTCTGCTGGTAGAGGAAGGACAGGATTGGAGGCAAGTTGAAATACCAGCTGATGGCAGTGATCCATCTTCTGTGGCTCCACCAGCACCTGCACTTACCCCACCTCCTGCAGGTCCTTCAGTTTCAGCCCCTCCTAAACTGGAACATCGACCTGGAAAATTGCAGTAAGTTTGTGTTTGTTCTGAAATGGCACGCTCTAGTTAGTTAGAGCAGTAGAGCTCAACCAAGAAGAATCTTTCGTTCCTCTTCACTTAAGATTAAGCTGTTAGTTTAAGGCAGTATTAATAAAGCTTGCCTGCCCAGAATATGTCTTTGCCTGTAAGCCCAGTAAGTCAGTTTAAACCACATAGTTTTATTAGAATGCCTATGGATGTGCTTTTTTCTGACATACAATTGCTTTATGAAAAATTATAAACTTGGATTAGGAAGAAATTGTGTGTGTATGATGGACACTAATGCTTAAGCATCAGATGCTCAGTGTACCTATAACTTCTATTTTAGGAGTGAAAATAAACAAACAAATGGCACACTCTGAAACCCTTCCAAGCTCTTGCACTTTTGATATTAGAAAAAAGTTATTGTTATCTTCATAACAGTGGAATGCAAAAAACCTCAAAACTGTGGGTTTATGTGCTCTTTGTCAGCTTTGTTTTGTTTTGATATCTTGGGGTGCTCTAAGCATTGCAAACATTTTAGAGGGTGAGTAAATTAACCCCAAAGTGTTACTCGGGGAACAGTAATCTACAAATCACTGGTTCCTAAATGAATCACTGGTACTCTCTTTTTTTTTAACGTTGCTATAACAAGCTGGCCTTAAAAAATGTATTTGGTTCTTCAGTGATGACCCTTTTCCAGAGGAATCCACAAGTATAATGCATTACTGCTGTAAGAGGAAAGCTTGGAGATGAGTTTTCCCCTCTTATTTTGATCTCTTTAAGGTCATTATTGTGTTTTTAAGTTCAGCCTTGCATTAAAGCTTGCTGAAGGGGCATGATCTGACTTCAGTGTTAGGATCACAGCCGTTGTACAGAACTCTTTTCTTCCACAGCAGTTGCTTCTGAAATACAGCATATATTGTGAAGTTTCTCTGGACACACAGTAGATTAAATAAGTTAATCTTATTGTTTAAATAGTTTATTTTTCCCTTCATCTCTTTAGGGTTCGCCTAAGTCCTGCAGCTCGCAACATTCTGGAGACGCATGGACTAGATCCAAGCAATATTACACCTTCTGGGCCTCGAGGAATCTTCACTAAAGAGTATGTAAATATTTCAGTAAAGCCACAACCTCATATTCCCTTATTTCTTCCTTTGAATCTAGAGCAATCTCCGTGAACTTGAAAAGTCCATTTAGTTAAAAAGTCAGCTTTTATTGCAGTTTTTTCTATGGGGGAATGGCTTAAGTTAAATTTGAAAAGCCTCTTGAGAAGATATGGAGAATAAATAGGTTAGGAAGTATTGGAAGAAGCCTTTAAAAAAAATAAACCAACAACTTTTATTTTTTTTTTCTATCCCATCTGAGCGCTGTGGTGCTGCTGTCACGTTTCCTGCAGCTCAGCCGAATGGGGGCTGTCAGCTCCTGGGCACCACTGTTAGCTGCCATTGTGGATCTCAAGAATTTTGCTGCTCGGAGATGTATTCAGAGCCAAAACAAAATACCAGTGGCTTCTTTTCTTCAACTCCTTTTCTTTGGGGAGTTCAAATCTTTTACTTCCTTCACTGAAGTTCAGTTATGAAGTCTGTCAGGATTTAGTTGTTCCCTTTTTTTATTAGGCTGGGGGGAGCAGTGAAGTGTAATGGTAAGAAATCCAGAGTTCTGTTTTTCTCCCATTGTTGTTTTTTCCCCATCTTTGATTTAAAGTATGTTTGTTTACAAACCTGTGGTTGTTATGATCAAGCTTCTGGTAGTTTACTCTACTTTTTGACTGTTCTTATGTAATGATTACCAGTCAGGCCTAGGGGTGAGGAACTTGTGTTGTGGTAGATCCAGAGCCCTTAGCCTTGAAATGGTCCATTATCTTCACATAGGTGTGTATGTTATTGGAGATGAGGGTTTTGGCAGGAATACTTATTTTTGTTCTCAGTAAAATTATTCCTTTTGGCAAATGCCATCGTTCACCTATGCAGACTTTGGTAGCTGCTGTCATTTTAGTTCCATTTGAAGTCAACTGGTCAGTGTCATTTGGAATTGAACCCAGGGAAGCAGGCAGTGGAAGTGTGCTACTTTTTCAGAACTGTTCTTCCTATGGTCTTTGGCTGAGTTGAGATAAAATAAGGCATTGAATAGATATAATATCCTGTGTGACAAATTATCAGAGAAGGTTTTTTGTTAATTATGCAAGCATAGTGGTAATTTACTGTGTGTTACTAGGCTGTGGCAGGTGGAAACCCTCTAGGACTTTGAGCTACCTAATTAACATTACCTAGTTGTCTTGGAGATGTAGTAAAGATTTTTCTGTAGCTATGAGAATTATTTAACAAAATCTTTTTGCAAATCTGCTTTCTTCCATACAAAAGACTTTACTTTGAAATGTCATTTTAAGACATAGACTGTCTGGGGTTTTTAACCATTCTTTTGAACTAGTGCTAATCGTTCAGATACCTACAGGCTCTGCTCTTATGTTCAGTTTGAAATGAAATGTTTGCAGACTTTTGTAGAGAGCTGCTACAGATATTCAGGGAAATATTTACTTTGCTAAGTTGAGATTACTGTTAAAATACATGCCATGCGTTATAGCTGAGTGACTCATGGTCTCTTTTTGCAAGTGGACTAGTGATTTATCCTTTGAGGGAGTGTTGCAAGTTCACTTTTCACTTTCAGCCTGAGTTTCCTTACGAACGGGGCTCATGCTCACCAGATTGCAAGAAGCAAGGAAAGAGAGTGAGTTATGTAAGACAGCACAATTCTTCCCCCCAGCTTTCTAGCTTTAAATTCAATTCACTGTAAACGTTTAACAGCAATAGGTGCTTTCACTGAATAGCTTTCTCTGTTGTAATCTACTCCCTTAGTAGGCTGATAGCTCATTTCTCTTCTGTATCTGTGCAAGGCTAAATTACTGTTGTCTTCTTCCTGCTTGTTTTTGTTCTATGAAGTGGCAGCTTTTTATTAAGCAATATCCTCTGCTTTCTTCAGAAATCCGCTAGGAAGTTGGTGTGCCAGTAGAAAGTAACTCACACCTTCCGTCAGAGATTACAGCGTGTTCCTGGTCACCAGCTCAGACACTGTTTGGGACAGCTGTGTTAAAGTTGTTGATGCTTTCACACTGCTTCTGCCCTTTCTCATCCTCTTTACTAGTGAACTAGGGATTTATAAATGCAACCCTAAAAAGGCTGGGCGGCTAGTTATCAATAATAACTGTGTTTTTCACGTTCATCCCATCTGTACCTTCCCACCAGCCGTCACTAAGTCTGTCCTAGGACTGCCGAGTTAAAACCCTTACGTAGTTTTCGGTAACTTCTAATATTTTAAGTAGGAAAGTTGCAATATGTTATGCAGTTACTTTTCTGTCTGAAACTGTGATGTTAGGGAATGATTTTCATCCGATGAAATCTATTTTTTTTTCCCCAATATAGTAGTTATGCTAAATACTAAACATTTAAAATAAATTTTGTCTTTACATTTTAATTTGGGAAAACAAGTAACTTTAATCATGATAGATTTACTGCCTGAGCTAAGTCTTTTTTTTGTTTTGATACCATTTTCTGAAGCTAAAAATAAAGAAGCAGGTCAGCAATCAGTAGAAGGCATATACAGAATATACAGAGCTTTTCAGTTTTCAGTTCTTGGCTCTGGAGTGCTACTTTGTTAGGAAGAACTAAGAACACATAAAGTTATGAGATTTTGTCCTTTCTGCAAAAAATTAGTAACACAAACTACTGACTCTTGCTCAAGAATAGAGGTATGTTAGAGCTTAAATTATTATAGCCTGAAGATGAGAGCTTACTTCTGTCTGTCATACTGTGCCCACAAGAGGGAGGTTTTGTGGTGGCAGCTGTATCAGCATAAAGACCCAAGGAGGATGCTTGTGGAGTAGATGAGGTTCAGCCACACCTGAGACTGTTAGGTGTTCCTCAGTTTTTAGCTTTGGTTCTTTAGCATGGTGCTATCTTTCAAATTCCTCATGAAGTATGGGCTGTCTGCACCCTTTTGTGCATATTTATGTCAGAAAGGTACAGAAAAATGAATGATAAATATACTGCCAAATTTTCTGTAAGCACTAATTAATTACATTAAATTCAGATGATTACAAATATAACAGATGAAATCTGCCATCTTATTTACAAGAATTGTTAATGCAATTCACAAATTACTTTGTACACTGACAATTAGTGATGGTGCATGTTATCCTTCTCTAACACAAATGTTTTCTGTTACTGCATATTGAAGCCACTATATTCACAGAAGTTAATAAGTATCTACATAACAGACATCACAAGAGAGACACAAAATTCCAATCAGTTAATAGTAGTCACCTTAATGTTTGGTTTGACAACAGAACTATTTAAATGCACAGAAGTGGTTCATTAATAACTGATAGGCTAGTAATACTTCGGGAATTTTGGAAATAGTTTCTTTGTTGTCAGTATTTTGCTGTGTTTAATCACCAGGGATGCTCTCAAACTTCTGCAAGAGAAGCAGAAGGGAAAGCCCAGTGAATTGAAACCCGTGGTTTCTCCAGCTCCTCCCCAGCCTACTGCAGTGCCTTCTGCTACACAAGCAACAGCTGTGACTTCTGCTTACCCCAGGCCAGCAGTTCCACCAGTTTCCACACCAGGACAACCTGCTGCTCTGGTAACGTGTCTGTTCAGTCCTCAACATTGCTACAGCTAAGTATTGCCATGGCTACTGAAGTAGCTATAGGAAATCTCCAGTACTGGAGAGACGAAGGGAACGAAGGCCACCTGGGTGCCAAGACCAGTCACGTGCTGTTTTTGGCATGTTTGAGGGATTCTAGAGCAGTGTAATTCAAACTGCAGAGCTCTTGAAATTATGGTCTGCACACTACTTTGTGGAACTTGCAAATTGAAGCCATGAAAAAATTTACATTGCAGGCCTTGGAAAGGGGAAAGTCAGGGAGGCAGCAGTGTGATTTCAGTCCCCAAAAAGGATGCCACTAGTTTGAAAATCAGCAATACACCTTTTCCCTCAGTTCCTGCAGGATGTGTGTCAGTGTGTATTTCCAAACTTAGAGAAACTTGAATCCTGATTTATTTTTACTGTACTTCATTCGTTTGCTTTTCTGTGATGTAAATATATGTAAATGTCCTTTGAGTTGTCAGGAAGTGAGGAAGGGAAGGGCTTAGTGGTTGCTTTAAAGAGTAATTTTGCGAACTCCAGCACCTAAATACAGTCTCTATGTTAATTTGAAATGTTTGAAATACCAGAAACTGTTTTTTAAAGAATGAATGCCCATGCTGAAATGTACCTTAGTAGAAATTGAAAAGCGTTTGTCAAAAATGAGGGGGAAGAACTTTCTGGCTCTAGAACTAAATTTGAAATATCTTTGCAGACTGAAGTTTACTTTGTAGCTACAATTCATAATATTCAGAAAATGCTGCTATTTTGCACTGTGCAAAGAACCAAACAAAGTACAGAAAGCTCAAACATAAATATCTTTCTATAACAGAAAAAAATTTGCACCTGAACGTACATACTGCAGTTCAATGTGTGTTCACTGCTCAGTGTGTAGTATATGTGCTATAGATTAGGTATACAAAATAATGTTTGATAGAGTCGCTTATTTTCTTGCTTTCTGTAGTCAACTGATATTTCAAGAGATTCCTTGAACGTTGACTTGCTTCTGTGAAGAAGCTGGGAAAACTTGTGCATTGAAATGTTACTGAATGTATCTGGAGGGAGAGAGGAGAATAACAAAAAAGACACGCAGTAAAGTCTGTCTGAAGGAACCACACAGGGAACTGGAAAAGCAGTAGCGTACTGTGGAAATGCTGTAGCATCATTCAAATGGAACAGAGCGTATTCTGAGCAGTACGCCAGCTCTGGCAGGTGGTACAGTGCTTCGAAACTCTGGCTGAGAATTAATGCCTGAATAGCTGGAAATATATTTTTCTTAAGCAGTCTGCTAGAATAGTAGGATTAATCCTGTACTGTAAAGTGAAACTGTCTTTATTCTATAAAACTTACTGTGTTGATCCAAGTTAAGTGGAATAGACGAGAGCAGTCAATGGTCTCAATCATACTAGTTTCAGTAGTTGAAACGTATCTCTTTTGATATCTAGGAGGTGCTTGGAGTGAGCAGGAGTTACTGATGAGAACCCATCAACACTGGAGTCCTGTTTCAGCAAAGGGGAAGTGTATTTGATCTCTTGATATTTAATATGCAGCATATGATTTCTTTCAGGGCACATTCACAGAAATCCCAGCCAGCACCATCCGAAGAGTTATTGCTAAGAGATTAACAGAGTCTAAAACTACTATACCTCATGCATATGCTGCTGCTGACTGTGACATTGATGCTATTTTGAAATTAAGAAAAGAATTGGCCAAAGGTTGGTGATTAAACTGTTTTATTGTAATGTGTGGTACTAATGCAGCTTGTCTTGTTTACATAATCTTGCCCAGGAGGTGTTGATTTTTGTACAGGCAGAACACTATGCATTCAAAGCATCTTTTCTGGTATTCTGTGTGTTGGACTCAAGCTGTAGTTCCCTGTGATTATTGAATTGGGCTATTTATCAAGGTACAGAAAGACAGAGGTGTTACTTTGCCAACTACCACAACACTCTGTAGACAACTGCAGTTTAACACAGGACTGTGCATTGCCCACTAGGCTTTTCTTTCCTTCTGTCCAGATGCAGCAGTATTTAGTTTCTTGATGGTTAGAAACTCAAATTATACATGTGAAAGATAATAGGGGAAGCTTCAAATTAAAATGCACTCGTGCTCTGTCCCTCTAGGTACGCTGTTAAAATTCAGTTTTGCTGGCTTCTGTTGAATTTACTGGAAAAGGAAAGCTAATGCAACCTCTCAGATTCTGTGTGAGAACAGCTTTATCCATGGTGAGGAAAGAAAGATTTTAGCACGTGCCAGCCAGTGCATGGTTAATGCCTCTTGAAGGCAAAGTAATGGTGTTAAAGTCAAGGAGGCAGGATTATCTTTTTCACTGAAATTTATATATATGCTTAAAGCTATGTTAAGCTGTTGGAATAGAAATCTATCCCACAGAAAACTGGATAATTTTAAAATATAGCTTGAGAATTGGATTAAAAGCTATTAATCTATCTTTCTATATATATCTATATGTGTAAATCTCGCAAGACCGACATAACTCAAATGAGCAGTTTTCTTGTCTTTGGGGAAAGGCAGACACATTAGCAATCCAGTATTCACTGTCTTATTTTTCCAGATGTAGCTGTAGGTAAGTTGTTTTCCCTCCCGTCGCCTTCCCCTGGAATGGTACTGTAGCTTTTGTACGTGCCATCTCTTCCAGCTTAAATCTGTAGCAGGGTTCCCCCACTTGGGTCATGTGGCTGCTGGGTAGGATTCCACAGAAGGATTTTTCATTTTCTGAAAGTTTTCCCTCTGGGGCAAGGTTAAAAATCAGCTTTGTTGTTATCACAGTGCAACATCAGAAAGTATCTTTGAGGTCCAGGTTAGATTTCTTTACGTGAATGGGTTATCACGTGGATGCGTAGGAAAGGGTTTTCGAGGTTAACCTGACGAAGTTAGCCTTGAAAGGCTCTGTATACAGAGGCACCGGCTAGGTTTTAGACATAGGCAAGTGTTCCTGTGGTGATACATCTGTCTGACAAAGAGGTTGATACTCTGTTCTCTCTTGTTGACCCGTGTTTTTGTTGATATAACAAAAGATCTGCTTGCAACCAGGTATTTCTAGCAGTTGAGACTGGTTTGTTTTTCCTGAGGGTATCCCAATATAGAGATCTCTTGGTGTGGCGTTGCAGCACAGGACACACGCCCTCCAGCAGTGTTAGACTACGTTGTAGTCATTTGCTCTGGCTGAGGCTTTACCCTGGGAGTGAATTTTCCCTGAGCTTGGTGTCGCAGAGCTCTATGCTGAGGAACTGGAATGCTGATACTGGGGGGCTACTGGTATGTACTGGTGACAAGCCCTTGCTTGGCTCTCCATATGTGAGGTCCTCAATTAAATTAGACTGGTACATTCAGATTTTGCAAGTGATGTTGCAGGAGCTGCTTTTCTTTTCACTGGAGTTTTGAGTGACTGCTTTTTTAAAGCAAGAGAACCCAGGTCATTTTTCCACCTGATTTTTTTTTTTTTTAAAGATACCTTATTCACAAGTTAATGTCAAAGACAATTTATGATGTTGATATTTTCTTTAAACAGCAGCAGATCATAAGAAATGAAGCGAAAAATTGTCTTATGAAGGCTTACTTAAAATTTTTCACATCTCTCCTGCTGCTGTGGATTCTTAATGAATATTATTTAAAAATTTAGGGGTGGAAAGAGCCATATGTCTTTGCATAGTAATGAATTGCAGGGATGGTCCTGGTAGATTTTTTTTCCTTTTTCTGATGGAAATGGTGGTGGTTTCTACTACATGATGAGACTTAATGTGGAAGTTTTATGCAGCATTCCGTGTTGTAAGCTGCTGTGTTTTGGGAGGAAAATACAGCCATTATCTGTACTGTGCACTTCAATGAGGGAGGGTAAAATATTATCAGACATGCTTAATTTAACTGCACTCCTGTGTTTCCACTGTATTCCTGCCCCCTCTAGTGGACAGTGACATTTTTGCCAGGGGTTAGGAATGTAATATATAAATCAAAATATAAAATACCAAAATGTATTTGGTGACCAAGATACAGGTTTGTCTGATGTGAAATTCTGTCAATGCAACGTAGTACTTGCCAATTCCATTGTGTTACCTTAGAATTCTGGCTCTCTTCTTATACATAGATTGCTAATCATGGCAAACATCAGTTACATGGTAAGTGGGTGCTTGGTTCCTTCCTCCATATTTGTGATCACTGAAGATTATTTCACTTAATATAATTACCTATAAATAATCTTGCCTTTTCAAAAACATTTCTTCAAGGTATGTGTATTACTTGCCATAAACCAGACTTGAAAATGAAGTAGTTCTGCTTCTTGATCTCTTCAGCTGACAGCAGTGATGATGGTAGCACAGTAATGCATCTTTTTTTTGTTGGGAGAGTAATGCATTTAATATTGTGTAAATATCATACATGTTCAGGGTAATCTTGTAGTGACTGTGGTGCACTCTGCATTGCATCCAATAGTCTTTGCTTCTGCTGCCGGTCCTGATTTTAATTAGTACTTTCAGTCTCCTAGAACTTGGAAAGAATAATGCAGAGTAAATACAGCCATCGTTTCCATCCCTCCTTTCTCCCAGGTTTTTGGGGAGAGGAAGCAAATGTACTAAGTGTTGCAGTATTTCTTAGGCTCCCATTAAGAAAAATCCAGTCCCCTCAAGGTTATTTTGCCTGCTTCTGGCTAATGCTGCCTCTTTTTGTGTGTAGATTTGCTTTTAATTTAACAACTTTGTCACTCATAATATTTTTCAGCCTGCTTTAGAATATATTGTTAACCCATTTTAAGGATCGATAGGTGCCTTTGCCTTGCTAATTCTTACATTATAAGGCCCCAGAAGTCACAGGAGAATAACATACTTCTGATTTATAGCTGAATAAAAGCTGATCTCTGCAATTATTCCTGTTAATGCATCACTCTACATAAGGAGTAGTAGTCTCCAGTATTGCCTCTGTATATTTAGATCTTAGGATAGATTTGTACATGACAGTAAATATGTAAAGCATAAAACACATACTGGCTGCTACTTGTAAGAGTGAGGAGTAATACTCATGTTTGCAGATTTTTTTTGACCTTCTAGTAACAGATGCAAGAATGTCTCTGCTCAGGAGACTTTTTGTTGATGATACTCCTTTTTGTCCCAAGGGGGAGAAAAGTTTTCTTGCTTTTATGGTTGTAGTTTGAATCATTGACAGAAAGTAACTCCTCTTCAGCGAAGCAAATCTGCTGAGTAACTTGAATCATCACACAAATGCTGATAAGAAAATCTTATGAGCAGTGATTGTTTGTTTTTTTTCTTTTTGCAGATGATATTAAAGTATCTGTAAATGATTTTATTATCAAGGCAACTGCAGTTACTCTGAAGGTAAGTGAATAATTGACTTTTAAAAATAAAAGATGTTTTATGGTAAACTGCCAAGAAGACAAGAGAAGTATTTTGTGAACCTGTATGGAGATATAGATGCAATCATAGCAAAGCTTGTAATTCTTTAGCACGTATTGTCAGGGTTTTTTAAGCTCTTCAAGTAAAATTCTCTATACTGTCTATGCTGTGGACTGTAAAAATGAGAAGTTCTTAGTAAAGATCCACTTACTACATTTACCATCTGCAGGTAATGGTAGATACTTTGTCAGCAGACTGAAGCAGTTGGCAAGATAAGTCTCCTATTCATTTGTCTCCTGTTGCATCTTATTTTCTCTTGCAATTACAACAAATATTTATCCAAGTCTTACACCAATCTTGTCTATTAGAATCATAGAACTGTTTTGATTGGAAAAGACCTTTAAGATCATCAAGTTGCATTACCTCACAAGAATATGAAAAGATCAGAAAGGGAGTAAGAGGCATTTTTCTCATTTGACAGGATTATCATTTTGACACTCTTCAAAAGCTAAAGGAGGAAGTTACACTTAAGTTGGGGAACTAGTCCCATAGATGTATGGAATGAAGAGAGAACAATGCATTGGAATGGACTTGAGCAATTTTTAGCCAAGCATGATCTGAATGTTAATGTGTAATTGCAAGAGCTATAGATTTTGACAGAAAATAGACAGGATTCTGGGCGTGTTACAGCTGTGTACGCTGTGGGACTTTCCTGAAGTTTATTTAACTTGCAAAGAGGAATACTGCCAAACTGAGAGTACTGTTACACTGCTTCTAGGAGTGGAGTTTAGACAGAGAGAGATAGAGATAGTGTTTCCCTTCCATACATTTTGTGGAATACCTTCTCCACTATGAAGTCAACTTCCTAATTTCATTAAGATCACTAAATACTAATCTTGGATTTGTTTGAAATAGTTCCTTCACAGTATCTGTGGCCAGTTAACTGGGACTTCACCTATTTGTTGGGTTGGGTTTTTTTCCATCCCCAAACTGTTTCAGCTTTATATAGTAAATGTAAAAAACCTCATTGAAATTATCAGTAAACATTGTCTCGATTTTAATTGAGTCTGCACAAAAAAAAAATATCTGATGCATTTAGGGATGACCTCATCTGAATAACAGTGGGTGTACCTGCAGCATGTTCTGTTTGTAGCTTCCTTTGTTGAGGGTCATGCTTGAGACACAAGTGGAAAACCACACATGGCTCTAGTACGATGCCCATTTCCAGGCTTTTTAAATCAATATCATGTCATTGATTTTGTCGGCGAAATGACTCTGCTTTGTACGCTGGGCACCTGTAAGGTGGTGTCAGTGACTCCTGAAGGAATTTAGGGTTTTGTTAATTTTTTCCCAGCAGCACCAAAAAACCTCCCGGCTGCCCTGCCATTTTTAGTTCCTGGAGCATGCATTCATACTTTTTGACAAAGTAAGTTTAAATAAAATAAAATAAAATAAAATAAATGCAAGCTAATCACATGCATCTATTCTTAGACCCCCACAGTGATTTTATTTTGCTCATGGCAGTCCTGATGACAGATGTGACCTGTTCTTTTGACTTCATTTACAGACAACAGTCTGTTATGCACTAATTAATTTGGTGAATGCCTGAATGTAGCTATGTGTCTGAAAGGATTTTGCTTTTTCTTGATAATTGTTTGCATCACTGTTCTTTTAACAGCTGTCTTTTCTTACACTCTCTTCTAGCAAATGCCAGATGTGAATGTAACCTGGGATGGAGAAATCTGCAGGCAACTGCAGTCCATTGACATTTCTATTGCTGTGGCAACAGACCGAGGTCTCATTACACCAATCATAAAAGATGTTGCTGCCAAGGGAATACAGGAAATCGCTGCCTCTGCAAAAGTAGGTCTTAAATGTACAGAAGGCTGAGGAGTGTAGTAGCTATATAGATTTTTGTATCAGAAAATGTCGCGTGACCCAGATACACATCAGTAATAACAAAGGCAGATTCAGAATTAATCTGAAGCAGTTTCAGAATTCCTCAGATGTCAAAATTATTATTAATTTTGCAACTCTGTTCATTTTTAATTGACAGTACCTTAGCCATCATGGTATTTAGTTAAATGCTGGCTAGACTGTTTGAAAAATAAGCCTGTACAGACTTCTGCAATTTGATATAATTGCATTTCTTTAATCCTCGTGAGAAAGCTGCATAATGTTAATCTTTTTAGTATTTCCCGGTCTTCAGGTTTCAGATTTTGTTTGGGAGGTCTTTTTCTCCCCCTTTCCCAGAAATTTGCTTGTAGCTGCTTGTGCTACTTTCTGTGCAGTTATATGACGGCACTTATTTTTGTCTGCATTTTTTCAGTAGGCAGTTCAGTTGGGAATGTGACCCAAAAAGTAACACTGAACAGCTCAGACTAATGAGCAGTATTTTGCAAAGACCAAGTGCCAGTTAGTGACTTGAATCGGTGACAGTTGTTGCCAGCCACAGAAGTAGTATTTTGTGGCAGGCAAAAGTACAATGAATGATGAAATGCCCCAACACAAGCCTTTTATTTTTCATTTAATGAGAGCTTGTCAAAGACCTACAGTGTCTGAGGAATGCAATGGAGGTAGCTGCTGGGGCATAAAACTGTCCCAAAACTTGACACAAGCTGCACTTTGTAAATTTTTGTCTTTTACCAAAAAACTACAGAAATCGCAATAGTCTGTGTTGGAGGAGGGGAACAACCAACAAAGTGGTAGCAGAAAAAGACATAAGTGCCATGCCACAAAACATTTGTAGCTGGATGTTTTTAAGATTTTTTCCAGTCGATATTGCTTTCTTCATGCTGAATGTGTTGTGAAAGCAAATCCTTTCACTGATATAACAACAGCCAGCCTAGGAGGAAGGGCAGCCGAGATTGTTAACTTGTTCTGTGATTAATAATGGAATGACAAGAAGAAAAGCATTATGAGAAGTGAAGTATAGCTTGTGCTTGCGTTATCATCCCCAGTTCCTGTGATACTGTGATGCAGTATTGCAAACCCCTCTTACCCTGGGTTGGTGTCCTGCAGTTCCCATGATGGGACTGTGTGCTTGTGTGGCCTTTGATAGAGTCATGGTAAAGTCAGCGTTCCCCTTTCATGGAAAATGGAATGTGTGTGATGGAGGCCACACTGCTCAATAGGAAAGCCATTGGGTCACAGAGGCTGCAGGTCTAGGAATGAAAAAGTCAGTTCCTAGAAAGAACATGGAAAAAATTCTAGAAAACACTGATAGAATTCCGAACAGGGGAGCATAAAATTCCTGGAAAATAGGGGCGATTAATGGAGTATTATTCTCCAACAAAGTTTCACAAATATGATATATCACTGTTTTCATGTTGTGATAAAGTGGATTTTTTGTTTGCTTGGTTTTTATTAACTTCCACCAAAATTTCCCTAATTAAATTATTGGAATCTGTAATTAGTTTTATTATTTTTACTGGAAGAAGGAAAATATAAACAAACTGTGGTGCTTTTATCAGTCTTCCCAGAAGCAGATCTGAGTCTATTTCTCTGACTGTGCTTTTGGAAACAGTTATTTTTGTCTTAAAATGTCATAATGCTGCAGCTGTCACAACGTGACATTTTCCATGTGCTTTTCCACCTGCAGAATAAATACGATACGAGCCAAAAGCACTAAATGTATTCTGTATGAACAGGATAGTTCATCTGTCCTGCGCGTGTTCCCACTGCAGTCTCTGCTGCCGGTTGAAGAGCTCCACATTTTGCAAAGGCTGCTGCTAATGGAGAAGCCATCCTACACCTTTCCAGTCACCACCTTTTCCACTGGGTGCTCACAGGGTGTTGGGAACGGGCTGGTGGCTGCGTAGCTGGCTCTTGGCGCACCGATAAGTCCATTTCTCTTTAGATCCACACAGCCCTTTCTTCCTTATGTGACATCTACTGTTAGAATTACTTGTCCTGATTCCCACTGCTTCCATCTAAGGAGACCTCTGAGCTAGAAACGTCCCAGCTGGGGATCAGGTTCTTTTTCTCTGTGATCGTATCTTAGAACACAGTATGAATTTCTTGGGCTGTATTTTGAACAGAATGTTTGTGGATGGTTTCTTTGGTTATATTCAGAAGTAGAAAAGTCTCACAGATGAAATGCAGGTTACGGGAAGGGGTGGACTTCAAGGCAGTTGAATGCTTAGCTGGAAGAAATACGTTCTCTCAATCTGCTGGAAAGTTCTGAAGTTGTATGTGGCAGTTTCTTTGAACAGGTATGTTAAGAATACTGTTAATTTGTCTCATCAGGATTTTGCTAAATAATTTTATCAGCTAAAAATAACAGGAAAACGGTGGCTCCATTGTGAAAACTGGAGCAAGGTCTGTAAGGTGAGAGAGCAGCTTTTGAACAGCCAGTATCGTTGGGAAAAGAAAGTTTTGTGCCCTGATCTCTTGGCCAAATCACTGCAGCTACAACAATGTTGCTGAGATGCTTCCCTAAATCCAAAAACAGATGACTTTTTAATGGGTGTATGGTACTTACAGTGTCTTACTGAAGGAAAAAGAATTAGTCTGCTACAATGCTTTAATTCTTTCCTCTCTCCTCTTTTTTTTTCTTCTTTAATTTTCTTCAGGCTCTAGCAAAGAAAGCAAGAGATGGAAAGTTGTTACCGGAAGAGTACCAGGGAGGATCTTTTAGGTAACACTCTACCAGTATTCAATACATGCAGTGTGTATTCAGAACTGTTTTATCCTCAGCTATTCCACTGTGTGTTTATTATGCATTGCCTTTTAAAATCTTGCTCCATTTAGGATGAAACTCCCATGTCATGATTCTGAGGGCCAAACCTAGGCTGAGCATCCTGTATCAGGGGCAAACATTTGTCTTGGTACAGGTTTATTTCATCTGAGCCTGGTGTGAAATTCACGTTTTCCGTATTGAGACTGATCTGACTTTTAATTTTGCGCTTAATTTTTTCCCAATTGCAGAAGAATGATTTTTTTTTTTTTTTTTTAAAGTATTTTTTGTGTTCTGTAGTTGGGGAACACCACTGGTAATACTTTTAAAATAAATATTTTAAAAGGAGTTGTTTGGCAGAGGTATCGCAGCAGACAGTGATGTCCAGTTTGTCTTCAGCTCACTCTTCAGAGGAATGTCTCTAGAGGGTGGTGGTAACTCTTAGTTTACTTCTAACTGAAACATTAAAAATAGTATATCAATTTGAAATAGTAGCGTATATTTAGTAAATATTTTTTCTATAAAATGTCCTCTGCTAAAAGAGCTAGTGAACTCAGTGATGAGAAATACATGGTTTATTTGAAGATACCATTTTCCTGTCCTAATTTCTGCCTTTAGTGTGTGCAATGCAAGGATGTATTACTGTAAAGAAATGGGACTTTTTAAAAGGTGCATTAGTTGTATTTGTAAAAATCACAAACTCTTGAAAGTCTGAATGTGCCCAACTGAAAGCCAGTTCAGATCTGTTTTGAAGTTAATGGGTTTGACCTTGGGAGAGAATTATGTCATAGTAATCACTGAATATAGGTGATTTCTTCTAGGGGACATGTAATTTCTGACATTACTTGTAACTCTTTTCTCTTTCATTTAGTATCTCCAATCTGGGCATGTTTGGCATCAATGATTTCACTGCAGTTATAAACCCTCCGCAGGCCTGCATCCTGGCTGTTGGCCGAGCAAGACCAGAGCTCAAGATTGTGGAAGATGAAGAAGGGAATGAGAAACTTAAGCAATATCAACTCATGACAGTGACTCTTTCAAGTGATGGTCGGGTGGTGGATGATGAACTGGCTTCAAAGTTTCTGGAGACCTTGAAAGCCAACATAGAGAATCCAATGCGACTTGCCTTGTGTTAAGCTTGGTGAAGTTTGGTTCTTGTTTGACAACACAGATAACTGTTATGTACTTGGAGTTAGTTTTCCATATAGAGGAGTAAATAGTTACTGTGAGATGGACAGTTAAAATATTTAATTTATTGAATTAATGTGAAAAACAATTCATTTTCATGCTTTTAGTCTTTTGCAATGACCAGGTTTTATACTGTAAAGCTAAAAGACTTTTATGTTAACTTTAGCTTAAAAAAATCGAAAGGAATTTAACATACTGCATTTCTTTAAATACTCAGTACTAATGGCCCCTAATGTTTGTGTAGAAAAGTCAATCTCCACTATAAAGGAAAAGTCAAGAAAACTTTATGAAATGTAAAAGGGAATCACACACTGTTTTGGGTTGGAAGGGACCTTTAAAGTTCATCTAATCCAACCTCCTGCAGTGACAGGGACATCTTCAACCAGGTCAGGTTGCTCAGAGCCCCCTCCTACCTGACCTTGAATGTTTCCAGGGATGGGGCTTCTACCACCTCTCTGGGCAACCTGGGCCAGGGTCTCACCACCCTCATTGTAAAAAATTTCTTCCTTCTATCCAGTCTGAATCTCTCCTCTTTGAGTTTAAAACCATTTCCCCTTGTCCTGTCCTCACAACAGACCCAGCTAAAATGTCTGTCCCCATCTTTCTTATAAGCTCTCTTTGAGTACTGAAAGGTGCAATAAGGTCTCCCTGGAACCTTCTCTTCTCCAGGCTGAACAGCCCCAACTCTCTCAGCCTGTCCTCACAGCAGAGCTGCTCCAGCCCTCGCATCATCCCTGTGGCCTCCTCTGGACTGGCTCCAGCAGGTCCGTGTCTGTCTTGTGCTGAGGACCCTGGAGCTGGATGCAGTACTGCAGGTGGGGTCTTTCCTGTGCTGAGATGGGCAGCTTTATTTAAGGGCTAAATATCTAGCTTTTAGAGTCAGTAAAGCAAGAATCATAATTGAGCTAAGCGCTGCTACGAGTCCTGGTCAGTACTGAGATAACTGAGTAGCTAAATTACATTGCTGCAGTAGAAAGGTTTTCAGTTTTCAAAAGACTTTTCTGGCATGTTGTGCCATCCAAATTAGATTAAAAGAAGGCTTATAAGATTTTGACAGATATTTCAGTGGCTTCCTGCATACGAGCAAAGACATTACAAACAAAAAAAGTTTGTTTCATTTCATTTACATCACAGATTTAACTGTTCTTTATCTTCTCCTTTAGTATAAGCTACACTGAAGAAAACAAGATGACTGTGGAGATGAATGGGGAAAAGAAAGTACAGGAAAGTCTGAGAAAGACTAAATTAGATCGTAGATAAAAAAGTAATGTCTCAAAATATTAAGCAATCTGATGAAATCCACAGCTTCATTCGTATAATTAGAACTCATTAAAACACATTTAAACGGTAGGTACATCCATTTTTCTAGTATTTTAAGAAACCTGCATTATCTAATGCTCTGGAGAGGGGTAGAGTGGAGGAAAACTTGTCTGAAAAAATGCATTTTCTGTAAAGGATGGAATCTCAGCATCATTGGTTTTTAGTGGAACCAACATTTAGTGAAAACAATGTTTTGTGTAAAAACAAACAAATTATAAAAAACACATAGATTTTAAGTTTGGAGACAATTACCTCTTCTAAATTTAGAAGTTGTCCCAACTCTGGTATCTTCTTCAGTACTACAAAATACAAAAAAAAAAATTTTTTTTCAAGTGCTCTGTGATATATTGTCATTAACTTAAACCTCAGGTTAATTGTGTCAGCATCATAGTGGTGAAATACTAGCTTTAATTTCTTAATCTTTTAGAGGTTCCAGTATGAAAGGTCAAATTTTGCACACTGAATATTTGCTGATAGTGCATGACTTTGCATGGATAGAATAAAGATGTAAGGAGGAAAGTGTGTCATAATCAGTATATATTGAAGGCTTAAATGCAGTGGCCTGAAGTTTAAATTAACTGAAGTAGATTTAGGTTTTTTTCTTATATATAAATATGGAACCATGTGTTGTCTGTATTTGTAATGAAATAACTGCATTTACAGGACCTGGTGAGAATATAAATTGCCAGCAGAGTTCTGGGCATTTGTCTTGTTCTAGTTTGTGCAGGTTCTTCGGGTTCTTTTTTTTAAAGGTTTGGAGGACTTGTTCGTTGAGCTGTTGCCGTAGTTAAAAAGCTAATTGCAAGACAGAACCTTTTGTTAATACTGAGTTGAGAGTTTTTTGCTAAATGAGTTTGCTTTTTTGGCTTGTTCTGATACAATAAATTTCATAAACTATTAATCTAACAGTAGGGAGAGATTTTGATTAACAAATCTAGTTTACTGTCCACCAATGGACATACCCACTCTGTATTTTCAGGAATTTTTCACTGATAAATTATCTTCCAGGCTGAATATTTTCTTAATATTTTTTTCAGAGTTTTCCATGTCAGGAGAGATTCTCATCTAGTATTATAGTGCATCGTGGATCAGAAATAAATAGCTGTTATTTCCTTTACTCTGAAGGTAGCTAATAAGCAATAAAGCATTATCATCTAAGGAGTGTCCTGGCACCTGCAGTTTCCTGTTCCCCGGTACCTGCTTGTAGACTGCTGACTGCGTTTCCTTTTTTTGTTTAAAGGCGTGTTGAATTGCAGGTGAATAGTCACACGGTGCTTTGTAAGTAAGAAAGATGGAAAGCTATGGTTGTTCAGTGTATGTAATTGTTTGTGTGCTTATGATGATCATGATTTCTCATTTTCCTTGAAGTTTCCAAGTATTAGCTAAATGATAGCCCAGTACAATGAGATTAATGCTTTGATAACCTTTCCCAAGTTATTTAAACATTCAGATCCTTCCCTTTCAGTCTTCGTGTACCAGGTTAACTTTTAGAAATTTCTGATTTATGAATGTTTTCTTTCTTAATTCAGCCAAATGACAGAATTGAGTAGAGAAGTCTCTTGGTTCTAAGAGGCAAGGCCAAACCCTTTGGGAATGTGCAATTTAAATTAAAGTCCTAGCAATTGCTTGAAAAATATGCCAGCTAGAGATTGTTCTTGCAGAAGGAGGAGTGTGCCTAAGGTGAGCATGGCATTGATCTCAAGGTGCAAGGGAGAGGAGCATTGCTGCCGTAGCCGTAGAGGATGTTAGCACAAGAGAGATGTATCTTTGGTATGTCTCTTCTTGGTTTCCCTTCTGGCTATAGTAATGTAGCATCAAAAATGAAACATTGTTCTCCAGGAAGGTGCATGGTGTGCTTCTTTTATTCTGTTGTATTTTGTAAATTACCAGAAATACATGCATATTTGCAAGTGTATTGATCAGCCTGTTTATCTCTGCATAGAGCTGTTCACTGAATGGTTCTTCAGAAACGAGAATCGAGGTACTGAGGTACTCCTCACCACTGGGTTTGCTTGATGTAAGCTTTGGTGGTGCCACTGTTTGCAGTCATTTCAGTCCATGAAAAACGTGTTTTAAAGGGAAAACTGAAACAGAGCAAGGCCAGAAGGGGGCAGGCTGAGCAGCTGGGTTTGACTTTCTGGGTCTCTTTAAGCATAACTACAGTCACCAGACTATTCTAGTATGTAGGTATTCTTGAATTTATGGTGTTTGGTTTTGAAGTGTTTGGTTTTGAAGTGTTTCAGAGAGCACCTGACATGAATAAAGAAGGAATAGTAAACACTAACTTGCCTTGATCTGTTGGAATTAGGATCAGACAGAAACCTTGGTTGTTGTATGGCACTTCCTGCAGAACTGATCATGGAGTCCAACTCCCTGCTCCTTGCAGGACTACCTAAAACTAAACCATGTGACTAAGAGCTTTGTCCAAGATCCTCCTCGAGCTCTGACAGGCTTGCTGCTTCCCTGGGGAGCCTGTTCCAGTGTCCAGCCACTCTGTCAGTGAAGAACCTTTTCCTAATGTCCAGCCTGAACTTCCTCTGATGCAATTTCATTCCATTTCCGTGTGTCCTGTCACTGGTCACCAGAGAGAGGAGATCAGCACCTTCGCCTCCGCAGCCCTCCTTGAGGAAGCTGTGGACCTGATGAGGTCACCCCTCAGCCTTCTCTAAGCTGAACAGACCCAATGACCTCAGCTGCTCCTCTTGAGTCTTACCCTTGAGACTCCTCACCATCTGGACACACTGTAATAGTTTGCTGTCCTTCTCACTTTGAGGTGCCCAAAACTGCACACAGTACTGGAGGTGAGACCGTACCAGTGCAGTGTAGACTGGGTCAGTCGGCTCCCTCAACTGGCTGTGCTGTGCTTGGTGGACCCCAGGATACAGTTGGCCCTTTGGCTGCCAGGGCAGCTGAGTCATACTCAGTGATGTTTTATTCCATTTGTCCCTAAAATTTTGAAGGCTTAGAGAGCAGATTCCTCTAATTTAGTATGGCAGTTACATCCATAATAGATTAAATGGTGAAAAAAAAATGATCAGTTGAAAGTACCTTTTGGTGTGTTCTTAGTTAAGCTGAAGTTTTAAACGTAAGTTTAAACTTCTTGTGATTTTCTTCTTTGTAATCGTGCTGGAGTAAAGCAGGAGGATGTTCACGGCAGCCTGCTGGAGATTTGTCAAAACATGCTAACCAGCAAATGTTCCAAGAAACACAAACTTAGGATTTGGGTGAAGAGCCATGTGTTGGTTAAACTGGAGTGCACTTCGTTTACTGGAAGCTTGGCTGGGTACTTTGCGTGGTTACTTTACAACATCTGCCTAACCCGGATCAGTGAAAAGCCATCACTGTTTGCTTGAGTTCAGTTTGTGCTCCTGCCCTTTGACGTCAGCTTTACTTTGTCTTGTAGGTATCACAGTGGGTAATTCTTCAGATACAATAGCCATATTGTTCTTCCCTCTCTCCACAATAGTTGTCCTACCTGGCAAGTTAAACATTTGTGTTGTTATGAGAAATAACTAGCTGGAAAATGACAGACTTTCCTGTTTGTTCATTACGTGTGCTAAGGAAAATGATTCATGCAATGTCAATAAACACCACTGTTTATCTCCTTAAGGACTAGAGATCAAGAGAAGATTCTCTTTTATGCCTTCGAAGTTCCTCTCATGTGGCCTAGATCTACACAGGAAGAAGGGGCAGCTGTGAAGGTTTTTGTTTCTGCTCACTGTTACACGAAGCACACACTGAACTGTTAGTGCAGCAGACTTTTTCTCCTAGTTTCATGATTTTTGCATGGACTGTAACATTCATTGCAGCGTGCTCTTTGCTTTGCTTTGCAGGGATCCAAGCAAGTGAACCTTATAGGATGCTCTCCTACAAGCACGTTGGTTGACCTACTCATCAGCCAATTCCTGTTTCAGCTGCCTATCTTAAGAAAAAAATGTGTAATTATGTTTCATTTTGCAACATTGGTGCTCTTTTAATTTCTTCC